TCTCTTATGAGCATCTTACTAACTCACAGAGGTCTTTGCTATGAGTGTCATGAAGAATGAAGAACCTACCTCCTATGATGAAGCATGTAAGGATCCTGTATGGAATCAAGCATGTAATGAAGAGTTGGCAGCATTAGAGGAGAATCAAACCTGGGAAGTGGTGAAGCTACCTCCAGGTAAGAAGATAGTGGGGTCTAAGTGGATTTTCAAGATCAAGAACAAATCTATTGGAACCATAGAGAGGTTCAAATCCAGAGTTGTAGCTAAGGGGTACACTCAAATTTATGTCATTGACTTCCTAGACACGTATTCACCAGTTTCCAAGATCAATTCAGTTAAAACTCTATTGGCAGTGGCTTCTTCCAAGGAATGGCATATCCACCAGATGGATGTTTCAAATTCCTTCATTCATTGTGACTTGGAAGAAGAGGTGTACCTTGAAATTTCTCCTGGTGACAATGTTCCTAGAGGTCATGGAATGGTTTACAAGCTTAAGAAGTCTTTGTATAGCCTTAAACAGGCAAAACAGACAATGGTTTGCTAAGGTAACCAATGCCCTAATGAAGAATGGCTACTCTCAAACCTCATCAGATTACTCCGTGTTTATTAGATGGATTCAGGGAAGAGTTGTGGTGGTTCTTGTATATGTTGATGACATATTGATTGTAGGGAGTTATTTGGGAGACATTGAACAGTTGAAGAAGTTCTTAAGCAAAGAGTCAAGGTCAAAGACCTTGGCCAAATGAGCTATTTTTTGGGATTGGAAGTATTGAGGGATCACAAAGGGATCTTCTTAAGTCAGAGGAAGTATTGTTAGGAGTTGGTTACTGATATTGGTTATCTTGAAGCCAAAGTAAATCTCTCTCCTATAGACTGCAATGTGAAACTCTCAGCAGGACAATGAGAATTGCTACCATAACCTACTGTCTACAGATGATTCATTGACAGATTACACTATCTAACAATCACCCGACTTGATATAACATATGCAGTCCAGTAGCTAGCACAGTTCCAAGGTGCTCCTTGTATTGAGAATTTACAAGGTGCTCATAAGGTGATCAGGTACTTGAAACAAAATCCTGGACAAGGTCTCATGTCCAGGTCAGATTCCAAACTAGAATTATAAGGCGTCTGTGATGCTGCTAGGGGAGTTGTCCTGATTCCAGAAGGTCTTTGACAGGCTATGCACTTTCTTGGGAACTTCTCTTATTACTTGGAAGACAAAGGAAAAAACAACTGCCTCTCGCATCGGCCAGCAATGGCTTTCCAATAGCTTAGTTGTTTTATGCTTTTGGTAGTTGATGAATCACGGTGGCCAAGTGCAACCACCTACTAATGCGTAGTATAGCGGGTCTAGTCTTAATTGTCAACCCGGGTCCTAGGTGTGATGACTACTCTGTGAATTCTCGTTATCTAGCGGTTTAACTGTATTGAAGTATTAACTAAGCTAACCAAAACACAAAGCAGTAAAAGTTGTAGTTCAAGTTTGAGAAGGCACACTCAGGTATGAGTCCCCCTAGATCGCAGTTAAGCCAATATGTCGTTCACCTAAACCAAGTTGATTGAAGTTCAAACTGCGGAAAGTTCTTAAACAGTCTGAAGCCTCGACTAAAGTGCTTCGGACCCTCCCAGTTAGAATACCCGGCGGGCGACTAACCTCCACCGGTGTCAGCTAATTGAGGCAATGAAGTTAAAACTTTCTCTACTGGATTCTAAACTAGTACAGAGCAGGGATCGACTTCCCAACTAAGGTCGCTAATCCACTACTTCCAAATCAAGGTGCTCTATTGACCTATACAGAGATTATCTTTCTAGGTCAAAGCAGGAATCACTAGAATGTGATCAAGACTCAAGTAATTTAGAGGAAGTACTTCAATTGGATAAAAATCAATCATTCAGGGCAAAGGGTTCATACAACTCATCCTAACATACAATCTAGGGTTCTTACATAAGCAAGTGATAGAAGGGGATTACTCCATAGAGAGAGAGTGGAAAGCCATGTGGGATGTGGAAATCATTGTGTAGACGAAGGAAATCGGCACCAGTTTCTCAATTGTCTCTCCTCGAGGCTTGAATCGAGCTCCAATGGTGTGGAACTTGATCTAGGGCGCTCAAGGATCTCTCTTCGTCACTTTCTCTATTTAACCCTGTTTCTTGCTCTAAGACTTTACTTACCTCTAAAAAAACCTGAAATTCCCTAAAAACAGCAACAGCTCGTGATACCCGGCCCAAATACTTGGTCGGGTGTTCAGAGGACCAGCCGGTATGGTGAAACGCTGCACGCAGGCAAAGAGGAAAATACCCGGTCGTGTATTTTGGGTTCCTGTCCGGGCCCCATTCTACTTCTTCTGGATATGTCGGTCGAATACCCACTCCCTTAGCAGATTATACCCGGTCGAGTATTTGAGTTCCCTGACCGGGTATTTTGGCCTCCAGCTCCTCTAGGCGCCAACTCTCCGTTTTCGACCCAAAACGCGCTTCCAAGCCTCCATTTCCACGCCAAGTCCTGAAATATGACATAAACGCACAACCTAGCGTGAAATCGACTTAAAACACGAGAATCGACTCTCAAACGGTTTAATAATGGTGGTCAAAACATGTTCATATAACGGTCTATCAAATTCCTCCCACACTTAACCGTTTGCTTGTCCCCAATCAAACCTGACTCAAACCAATGCAGCTCTTCAGACCTATATAGCACCATGCAACCCCCATCATCGACATATGACTTCCTAGATCATTTAGTAACTTACTAGGTCGACTGGTTTTCTAAGACATTCCCTATTTCCCTCAATGTAAGTACTAGACTAACACAGGATCGTGTTAATTAGTGGACCTAGGACAGACAATTCATGGACAAAGAGACTCACTCACATAACACAACAACCAAGGACCCGCCGATCGGGTGCTCTTTCATTCCATTTCACTTGTTCGAACCCCTTCCCCTTCTTCTTTGTTTCTTTTTCTTTGGGTTTTCACATTTGCACTTTGATGGGGTTCCAACTGCAGTTTTATGCACGGTCGACCCTTATTATGTGAGCAAGAGCAATTTCTGTACATCTGTCGCTCGCCAGAGTACTTCTTTTAACTCCTTTTCCTCACTTCGTGTGGAGGGTCAATGAAATTAAGGGGGGTCGAAATCTCTATATGTGCTCTTAAAAACACATCCTCAAGTAGGCAAACCGTTCGACGGGTGGAATTTTTACTTGTACTAGAGACGACTTAGCTTCACCTTGTAGGCCTACCCAACTAAGGATCACTAAAATCTCTTCCAAAACCCGATTTTGTGCAATGAACGGTGCCACACACGTTGGGCTTACCCCATGTTTAAGATTTCAATTTTTCTGACATGGAGGACCAACAGCTTTATCATTACACACCTGAGCACCCTTATACGAAACATGAGTCCATACACAGCAAGAGAGAGTCATCGATATCACATGAATCAAATGTCCTATATCCACTAGTTCACACAATCAACCGGCACAACAAACAGGAAGATAGGAAAGATCTTATACTTCAACATCCTCCATAGCGCTACACTATCTCCCTGGATTGCATAGTACTATAAAGATTGTCAATTCAAAACATACTGAGCAGGTCATCCCAAGGAACACACACTTGGATCCCTAAAATCAAAATTTGGACAGTGGACTAGGCTCCAAGCACACAAACATCACTAAGCAGTCAAATATAAACACCCCCACACACTTAAGTTCGACATTTCCCTCAATGGATAAGAGGGAAGGATAAGGGGAACAATGTTACCGGGAAAAACAGACTGCAGCGGGACTGGAAAGTGGACCAGTCGGACGTAGAGGAGGACTGGAAATGGGACCAGTCAAATTAAAAACACGGGTAGAACAAAAATAATCACTCAAACACAAAGGCCTTAGGTAGAGTTATCAGCCCAATAGTACAATTATCCAAAAGAAAAACAAACCAAACACAAAAATTCTCGAGACTTCTGCCGCCAAGAGATTTCCTCCATAAGAATGATTTATCTAACTCGACCCTGAGAGAACTCCTCTCAAGATTCAGGCCCTCCGGAATTGGACCCTTTTCTTCAGCATCATCGATAGCCTTAATTCTTCTGAAGAGAACTTCAATTTTCTGCTTGATGCAACCAAAAACTTCAATATTCCACGTCTTAATAAGCTTCTTGGTTTGCCTCAGCCGCTGACCAGCCCGAAAAAGGAGGCCCGACCCAGAGACCGGGACATTGCACCAGACTTTGAAAGAAGGAGTCTTCCAATAACCACATATTTTCGAACCGCCATGGCCGCTTCACACGATCAGCAGACCCCCATTGCACATGGATCGGGTTATGATCAGACTCAACACGCTCAAAAGCCACAAGGGGACCAGGGGAGAAAGCTTCCTCAAAGGCGATGTTGATGAGAGCACGATCAATGCGGGAGAGAGAGGCATTAAACCCCCCGCCACTCCAGGTGAAGGACGCGCCTTGGAGAGGGAGATCAATTAGGCCATTGTTATTGATGACTGAATTGAACTCAGCCATCACATCTCTAGAGCGAGGTGCCCCTCTGAAATCATCATCAGATCTGACCAGATTAAAGTCACCAATAATACACATCGGAGCAAAATAGTTGTGGCAAATAAAGTCGATTTCACGAATAAACTTCATCTTAGCCTCACTTCCCTGAGGGCCATAGACATAGACCACGGCAATCACATCATTATTCTGAATAGCCTAGAGTCTAACACCAAGCGGGTAGTCCCCTTCCCAATTATCCAATCGCTTGAACACGGCTTTGTCCCAAAAGATCACAATACCTCCACGAGAGTCACACGCATTCTTAGCAACCCAATCCACCATTCTGCTGCCACTAACAGAGGTAATAAGAAATTCCGAACACGAATTCCATTTAGTTTCAGAGAGTCCAACAATTGAGGCTTGACACCTTCTGATGATTGCCTTCACCCTAGCCCGTTTATTCGGAGCACCCAGGCCCCTCACGTTTCAAGCAAGGATAGAATTAATCATGGGAACTATTAACAGCAGACCTGGAGGGGGAGCGATCAGAGCACCCCGTTGCATAATTGGTATCACCACGGTCACGCCTTCTGGTATCCATTTTCCTCCTCCGCGGGGTTACACAAGGCTGGACCTGAACCCCCAGTCGGTGAATTTCCATTTGCAGCTTCGATCTATGCTCTCTTCTCTTCTTTCCTTTAGAAGTGTAAGCCACCTCCTCAAACTGATTGAAAGCCTCCTCCGGAGTAACTTCAGCATTCAGCTGTAAAACAGGTTGAAGATTTTTTCCAGCTTTGATGATGTGATGCAAATCTTGCTCTTTCCTCCATTCCTTAAGATAGGCTGCATCCAAGGGTTGAAACACTGTGATTGCCAACGGGTTAGGATCCGAAAAAGGGAGGTGGGGATTAGGGGATTCCGACCTTGAAGAGTGTTGGGTTTCCGGGGCGAGACTGAACGGTCTCACGGTTTGAGGCAGGGGTTCCAAAGGGGGCGAATGGGTTTCAGGACTGGGGCTGGGTAGGGAATCTGGGACGAACTCAAACTCTTTCGCCGATGGCGAGGGCTCAAGGGATAGAGGTTGGGTTTCTGAGGTCATGAGGAAGTCGAGGTTGCAGAAGAAATGGGGTAAAGGTTCAGGCAGGGGGGAATTAACAGGGAGCTGTCGGGGGGAGGGGGGGAGCAAGGTCAGCAGTTGGTTTGGAATTGGTAAGGTCAATGGAAGCGAAATGGAGTGCAAAAAGGTGAAGGGAAAACAAGGGATGATGACGCGAAGGGAGGCTCGGGTGCACAGGGAGTGGATGGATTCGAAGATGGAAGTCAAAGGGGATGAGGGAGAGGAGTGATCCGCCGCATCGACCAAAACTGTCCTAACAAGCTGGTTTACCGGGCTGAGGAGGGTAGAAGGGCTTAGACTGCCGGGTCTAGAAAGCTGGTTTAACGGGCTGAGGAGGGTAGATGGGCTAAAGCTGCTGGGTCTAGAAAAAGGGTTGGGTAGGGGCCCAAACTTCCTGACCCACACGCGAATGGGTTTTCTAGTTAAAGTCTCAGGAACCCGCGTGCAAGGGGGTAGGGCAAGGGACGTTTGGGAACTCGAGGCAAAGGAAGCACGAGGAAAGGAAGAGTTTCGCACCCCAACGGAGCTCGGGCTCTGAGCGGTGATACAACGACGGGGGATTCCCGACCGGCTCGCCGGCGGAGGAGGAAAGAGAGAAATCTGGAAAATTTCCTCGTCACGACGAAGAAGAGCTGTGTCTGGGATAGGACCACCCTCCTTAGTTTTAAGAAGAATGAAGGGGGCTTTTTCAAAGCCAGCATCGAGGTCCACAAATCCGCCGCAGAGGTCTCCGATCAATCTGCAAACCTTCCTAAATCTTTAGCTAAGAATTTGAAACCTTGTCATCTCCACTTCTAGCCTTTAGGCAGGCTTAAAGTAACCAATCATTTTGATTGTAATCCTTCTCAATTTCTTTTTTTTTTCTTCTTGGGTTGGTTTCATTTCTGGATTCCTATTTACCTAGTAGAAGTTCTTATTGAAAGAATAACTAAGAATTTTCCTTGCTCAAGTTCCCATTTAAACAATAGCTCTTTCATGATTCATAATTCTTTAAGTTATGGGGATGACTAGAACTCTCCCGTGAATGACTCAACATCAGTGTTTCTGGGACAGAGTCACTAGGCTTCATTCTTGTGGACCATGATTTTGATGTATGAGCTGTAACTTTTCATGGGATATTATGCAGTAATTGGCATGTATCTTTGGCAGAAGAGGACAAGGTAAACCTGATTGTGTGGATGCTGACAAGTGCATGAGCAAAGACAAACTATTGTTTAAGGTCATTTAACATTGTTTTGAACAGCCGATGTGTAGGAGTCTTGACAGGGGTACTCACTCAATCCCCAATCAAACAGTGGGTTACTTCATTATTAAATTGTAATGTTTGGTACTATTTTGTTGATAATTAAACTGAAATGTTAGCTTACCTCCCCTTTGGTCTCAGGTCAGATTACGCACAAATTTACATTTGCTCAATTGTTTTCTATGCTTTCCCATCTTGCTTCCCTGCTATTTTGTTCTTTGTATTAGATATAATGTTTTGTGAGCTTACTACTTGATCATATTATAGTGATTCGTATTCTTCTTCCTTACATACCTTCAAATTGTGCATGGATCAAGGCTGTCTGTTTTGATGGTTTATTACTTAGGTAATTAAGTGGTTTGAATGGGGTATTTCTACAGGACTTTTAATTAATGATGGAAGTTGATCTACTGGCTTGCACGATGCTGGATTTCGTGGTATAAGGAGCTAAGAGCAGAGGGGCTGTAAGGAACTTCCTTAAGTATAATTTTGAACTTTTGGTAGAATGTCAAACATAGAACTTCTTAGATTTGAATTTAAGGAATGTGGATTGATGGTTTATATTGTTGATTGTTGGTTTCGCTTGTTGATTTGGTAATTCAAAGTCAAATTGGTTATCTTGAATTGAAGAAAATTTCATCAGATTTGTGGTGAATTTATTAGAGTAGTTGTTTTTTTTTAAAAGCTGCGTATTTAGCGACGGTCAGTGTTCTTTAGCGAAGGTCAGAACCGTTGCTATGTAATGTAATCCTTCTTCCGAAATATTTATTTAAGGACGACTCTCTTAATGGTAACGATAGCTAAGCCCGTTGCTAAATTTTACCGACGGCTAACGCGACGGTCAACCAAAACCGTCACTACAATATTTAAGGACTGCAGGGGCGGCGACGGTCGACCTTCCGTCATTAAATATTTTAGCGACAGTTTTGACCGTCGCTAAATTCCGTATGACGGTCGCTAAATGGCTGTTTTGTTGTTGTGTCATCAGGCAGTGCGTCGCTTTTTGTACACTGGAGTGATCCGATTCACTGATATAGGCGAGTTCTATGATCCAGTTCGTTGCCTACGACAGTTTGGATACCGATAGATGGTACTGCCTGCCCCTTCGCGGCCTCAACGAGCAGACCGACCAGAGGCACCTGGTGGATATGTCATTCGGATTCCTGAGAGTTTTGATGCTGCATGGGATGCTCTGCTATCCCACATGGTTCATATAGACATGTACTCTCAGCCCTGGACGACGTATCCATATGAGACTACAATCGACTATCTTGACTGGTTCGTGGAGCACTCTCATTGTAGAATCCTATGGGATGATGGAGATGCAGATCAACTAGTTGACTCCGCAGCGGTAAGATTTGACCACTAGATCGTTACTCTATTATAAATATACTTAGCGTGAAACTAAAAATTGTTCTTGTTTTTTTTTTTTGTGCATCATGCTCGCAACCTTTTGTACACATTTGCACCTGCGGTTCGAGCAGCAGCAGGGAATGAGGAGGAGTTTCTTGAGCATTCTCGACAAGCTTACAGGGCACTGCACGGAGTGCAGGATGTGTGGACTGAGTACTGGGTCTCTTAGGGACTCCGCCCTCCAGGGGATTTTTAGTTGTTTGGATCATTTATGATTTGTACTATTTTTGTTTAGATCAGATGTTTATGTTTAGACTGCATGTTTGCAAACACGAACAAGTCCTCAAAATCCATCCATCGCCCCGGTGGTGCGTGACCCGCCTCGAGCCAATTGATGGGGTCAATATGAGCTAGTGGACCACCATTATACAAGTTCTCGTACTTCCATAAATGTTGTTGGATTTCTTGGACAATCGTCGATCTCATGAGCAGATAGTGACTATCATCCTCATAAATACAATGAGAAAGTGCCCTAAAACCACAATGGTCATCTCGACTAGGGTTGAAATCGCCTACCAGCAAAGGTCGAACAAACTCTGGAAAAAGCTCATCGATGTAAGGGTAAGAATATTGCCCTGGGGGGCTCTGGGATGAGTAATCTACAAAAATATACCAAACGGTCAAAATTACTTGGACAAAATTTACAAACATAAACCAATTACTACTAGATGGACTATAATATTAAACCAATTACTCACCTGTATCATGCTCGTTGGATTCACCTCCACTCGATCGGGATCTGCCTCCACTCGATCGCAATCTGCCTCCACTCGAACCAGGCCCAGTATTCCACGAACGAGACCGCTCATAATATGAACGAATGCGATTGGTGCTTGTTCGAGGCCGCCCTCTCGGATTCTCATTCACTTCCGGTTCCCTCACATTGTCCTCTGCTGGGTGAAGCCCATAGAACAGGGCATCTCTTGCTTGTCTCACTGCTTCATGACCTCTTTCTTCCACCTCAATAGTAAGACGCCTAAAGTGTTCTCGTTGAAGCTCAATTTCATCACTGACTTGTTGTTGACATGGGGGGTTTTATAAATACATGCAACTCTTGAGCATAGAATTGACGTCCTTCTTCCTTAGCTTGAACAACCTGGCAAGCACACTTGAGCCCATGTGTCATCTGAAAATGACACGCACAACTGTCCTTCAACTCCGCCGCCCCATCTAACATTAGTTTGATTGGCTCACAACTAATGACCCTCCTAAAAAACGTGCACGGAACCTCAATTGCCCTACTCAGATTGCGGTTCAGTGACTTGTGCTGTTCATTTACCACTTCTAGAAACTGATGTTCCATGTAGTTGTGGTTCTTCGCAGAACAAGTGTCAATCGCTCCTCTATTAGACACAAGGAAAGTCTTGAATGAAGAGTGAGATGACTCAACTCTATTCGAGCTCGTGTTACCAAGATGAAACACATGGTTCGTGTAGCACTTTGCCCACATTGTCTGATGAGGCAACCACTCACCTCACACGTAGTCGACCATTTTTAAGTTCTTCTCTGTCCAAACCCTCTCAAACTCATTAATCTTTTGAAGAAAACCCTCTTGAGTCCAACTCCATGCAGCTTTGTCGAAATATTTCTTCCATACCGCTTGTGTTACCTCTCTTTTTGCAATTCCACCCAGTAATTGCTCAAAGTTTTGCTTCACACAGTTGTTAACGTGCCATAAACATAGTAGGTGGACGGTATGTGGGAGAGGGAAGACCACGGGAACAGAATCAAGCAGACCACCTTCTTTGTCTATCACAATGACATTCGGAACCGTATCACCGAGCAACCCGTTAATACATCGCAACAGCCACTCTTATGTTTCCTGCTTAATAATTGCACATGCAATGTTGAAATTCTTCTTAATTGGAGTAACCCCAATAATCTCAACCCATGTCCAGCCGTACCTGTTCGTCTTGTAGGTCGAGTCAATGAGGATGACGTACGGCCATGCATGCAACATCTGAATGGACGTTGGGTGCGCAAAAAACATATCAGTGAGCACATTATTAGAGTCCTTTTGCAAACAGATATGGTACCCACGCTGTTCAACTCCGTGAAGCGCAAACTATATCGCATCTATTTCACCCATATCATCCAATCTTGTCTTAATTTCTGTTGTACATTTGTTTGATATCATGATGCACACCCCCTTCAGTATTGAGTGTCGTCTTCTGCTGATTTGGTTTCACACGCGCCTTCCTCATTAATCTTAACCTCTCTTTTTCAGCCTCACTAAATTGTTTGTTGTGTCGGTGATGTTCTGGATACAACACATTTTCATGGTTGTGAAACCCTCTATTATCTCCGGTTACACGACTTGTCACTCCCACAATGACCCATGTGTTTGGACCATTCTCTTGCCATACTTCCTTAATACATATCTGAAACTGGCAACCAGTACACTTCGAACTAATATTCCCACGCGTCTCCTTCGTAGGGTCTGGTTTATAAGACTTAACGATCCTACTGTTTCTGTCGCAATACATACAGAGGGCAGTAACAGGATGTAGTCCAGCAGTATTCGGTTTCCATGCTCCTCTAACAATAAAGAACCCACACTCCTGACCGATTGCTTTTGCAGCTAACTTCACACTTGCATACTGGATCCCATTCTCAAATTCCTGTGTGTAATCATGATCGGCCGGTAACCATTTTGACATTTTTCCTACAATTACAATATAACACATCAATATTCCTCTGAACCTAAACGCTAATTTCAAGTCTTAACTGCTAAATTCAACTCCTAAACTCTAAATTCAACTCCTAAACTCTAAATTTAATACTTAAACTCTAAATTCAACTCATAAACTCTAAATTCAATTCTTACACGCTAAACTCAACTCTTAAACGCTAAATTCAACTCCTAAACTCTAAATTCAACTCCTAAAATTGAATTTTTTCGAAAAATTCCTAACACATACTGTAAGCCGAAATTTTGCGGCGGCCGGAACCTGGCCGGGCCGAAAATTCCGGTGGCCAGAACCAGGCAGGGCAGACGGAAATCGGTGGGCGGAGCCAGGGTGAGCGTGGCTCACCGTCTGTTCGTTGTAAACCGTCGGAAAAATTGTTTGAAACTACAAAAAATTGACGCACCTACTTAGTGATGATTCATGGATGCGTGTCGCAGTTTACATCGAGGATCGGCTTTCCCGATAATTTTCCGATGACTTTTCCGGCGAGCGTCGATTTTTTATGATTCAATACGTTTTCTGAAAGTTGGATATGTTGTAGATTGTGAAACTCCTTAACCAAAGATGTACATATATACTTTTTTTTTTGCGGCAAATAACAATTTGGTTGGCGGCAAATAGCAAGCCCCTTTAGTATGTGCACTTTCATGTCTTACATTACAGTACCTAAGTAGTTTGTTACCTAATCCTGGTGGTGCTTGGTTTGTCATAGTGATTAGAGGTTTTAATTTATACTTTGTAGGTTTGCCGATATCGGCTAGTCGAGGATGAGTTCAGCAACCCTTCTTTGATTTTAGAGAACTAGATTTCTACCTAATGTGTGTCAAGAACCAGTTGGTTCCAATAACTCGAGTTGTTGGGAGAGGTTCAATCGTGGATCATATACCACAACACTAACATGCTCCTTCAAACGAAAGTCACTCACAAGGGCTGGAAGTTTGCACATGTCTGAAGACAAGAATACCATGTGCTTAACAAGTGGGGGTCATTGGGAATCGAACACAAGACCTCTCGGTCACAGAAGGCTCTGATATCATGTAAAGAACCAGTTGGTCCCAATAACTCGAGTTGTTAGGAGAGGTTCAATCGTAGATCATATACACGATACTAACAATGCGAAGAATTCACCATCAGCTGCTCCAATTGCTTATAGCTTAATTCTATGTTGCCTGTCATAATTTTGTTTCCAGCTTTGCTGTGGGGTTTTACATCTTGCTTTCAGCAGCCGCTTTTTTGCAAACTACAAAGTCATTCCTGGTCATTTTGAAGGGTAATGCCCGCCTGCTTAACTTTGAATAAACAATTCGTGGCTTGCTTAACAAACAGAAAAAAGTTGTTAAAAAAGGTAATTTTGTATAAGCTCTCTGATGCCTTCTTGTAGGGAAATCGACGAGGACATTGCTCTCTTGAAATCCACAGTAGTTTCCCTGCTCAACGACTTGGGTTGTTGTGGTTCAACCTTGAACGACGACCTCGTTAGTGAAATATGGCGGTATGTGTTAGAAACAAAGTTTCTAACGGGATTCGTATTGGGTGATATTTGGGAATTTAGGGATCAAGAAGATAGAATTAGGGATTTGGAAGTAGAATTTGGGGAAGAACGAGAAAGAATGGCCGGCGGCCGGATTAGGGATAGAGGAGAAATTGGAAGGATTTAGGAGAGAATAGGGTTTCAGGATTTTCTTATTATTCTTCTTATTGACTAGCACCGGGCCCGGCTTGTTGGCCGGGAGAGTTTAGTATTTGTGTAGTTATAGTCTTACATATATGATATATATTGAAGACACATTCAATATATATTTTAGGGTAAATACAATTTAGGGTTAATGCCTTGACTCGAATTATGCACACTACTTCCTTGCTTTGCCGGATGCAGGTTTTGACTGGCAAATTCGACGGTAAATTCAATTGACCGTTAGTCAAGCGCCAGGTCACTTGCCACGTCAGAGAACCCAGAATAAAAAATTTGGATTTGGTTCGCTGACCTGGTTCAAAATTCAAATTTTTTTTATTTCGGGTTCGCTGACGTGGCAAGTGACCTGGTGCTTGACTAACGGTCAATGGAGTTGACCGTCCAATTTAACGATCAAAACGGGGAAGCAAGGGAAAACGGATGGGATTGATCGAACCGGTAAACGGGAACGGTCTCAGTAGCCGATTATGACCCATTATTAGAGATTGCGAACAAATAGTCTTTATTGACAGGCCCAATACCGACGCAAATCGGTGGAGAGCAAAGCCCGGCGTACACATGGGCTGCAGTCAGATTGATAAAACGCACAACATAATTAAATGGAGGGTAGAATGTCGAGAATATCCTTCCGGGAAGTGCTCTGGAGCCTGGAAATTCAAAATCCTGAAAATTGAACCAATGAATATGCTTTATATATTTTGTAGATACCGAATGAATAAGTAAGGTACATATTTATAGGGAATTCTAGAAAACCCTAATAATAAACCTAATTCTATTAAATGACTACTAACCTTATTGATAATTACCCTAATAATAATTATATTAATAAATCGAGAAACCCTACAGGAATCAGTTTCTAACATCTCCTCCCCCTTCAGACCAACCTTGTCCTCAAGGTTAATCGTTTTGACCCTCTTTTTCTTCCTTCCCAAGCAATCCGCAATCTGACTAATCCAGTTCTTGCGCTTCCGTTTCTTCCAATCGTGCTCCACACCCCGACTAGGCCTTCTTTCTTCATCCTCCTGATTTGCATGATCCACGATCGTGATTTGCATTTCCGGTGGCATCATCCTCTCATTCTCACAGTATTCAAACTTCAATAATTCTTCTTTCACGGTCATCGCCGTCCATCAACTCCATGAATCCAACGACTTGCCCTGGCTCAAGAACACATCCTTAAGTACTAACTTATCAAGGCCTGTGAACATCTTTCTTGGAGCTAGCCCGTAAATTTGCTCTAATGGTTCTCCAAACCCAATTGGATCATGCTCTCTCGAAAACCCATCTTCCAAGCATACTAAATGGTCCTTCCAAACCATTGAGCCCATTGCCTTCATAACCCAGCCCACGTTGGGCTTAACCCTCTCCTGCAGACTACACCCACAAGCAATCTCATCCTCAGCCCACTTCCTCTTAATTTTCGGCCCATAGCTTATCTCCAGCCCCATCATTCCTTTCCCCCTGTCAGATCTAACGGCCCAGGAAACTCGGCCCACTTGCATTAGGTCATCTGACCATTCGGCCCACGCTCCTCGGCCCAGCTGACCAGCCCTTTATAGCTTCTTTGCTCAGCTTCGAAGGAGGGAAGAAGACACAGAGGCTCCCGGAGGAAATCAACGTCGCCGCCTCTCTTCTTCTTCTCGTCCTCCAGCAAGCGGCACGCCAAACCACAAGAAGTCGACTCCGGCGCCACAAGCCTCCGTTTCTCGGCGATCGGCGCATCACCCTTGGCCAACATCAATCGCGGCGCCATCCCCACAATCTGCGTCGCTGACTGCAAAATCCGGTGACCCCGAACTGTTTCTCGTCGTCGATCGACGTCGTCACCGTCCACCTCCTCCACCTTCGACGGCGGCTCCTCTCTTGGCAGCGAACTGCCCAGCCCATGGCGCGGAGACCAGCACACTCCTCGCCCCGACTCCTGCACTGTCTTCTCAACGGTCGACGCGGCCACGATGGTCGCCGTCATCTTCTTTGATGGCAACCGCTTCGCCCCGTTCTCCGGCGAGTGCTCCGCTTCTTTCTTCTCATCGATCGCCGTACCGGTTGGATTCCTCGTCGACTGCGACGCCCCGTAACCGCTTCGTGTTGCTGGCAGAGAAACCCGGCGAGCCTGCCTTGCCAACCTTGCCTCCGAACCTGTGGCGGTTCGAATCATAGGCTTCTTCTCCAACTCGTTTCGTCCGGCGGTCGCGGTGCTGAGCTCTGCCAGCAACGAGCAAAATTCCCGACCTCGTGCGACAATTCTGTTCGTGGCGGCATTTGACTCTGCGTCGATCGACGCCAACTCCTCTTTGCGTCGAGAGATGGTGACGTGAGGCTCAGCTGAGCTCAATCGAGACTCCCCGATCTTGGCCGTTTGAATTTCGACCGTTGCAGCGGTCGGTTTCGCCTCACCGAGTCCAACTAGTGGCTCCAAGTACCTTCTCGAACTTGGCAACGACGCCACCGCGATGCGGCCTCCTTCGCTTGGTCGCACCTTCTTTTTCCTAAATCTCCAGTTTGCTGGCCGATTTGGCGTTGCTATACTCCCTGCAATTTCATCTTTGGGTTCCTTCTCAAAGACAAATGTGTTCTCTTTGCTTGGAAAAACAGCAAAGGCAGCCAAACGTCTTCTTTTTTCTTGTTCAGGGGTGATTGTCCTCTCCTTGTCGGGAACAAGGACGAAAGAGGCAAGACCTCCTTCCTCTTCGGTCACGACCACGAAAGAAACCTCGGCAGCCTTGTTTCGTTTCTTCTCCCTGGGTGGTTGTCCAACCGCTGCAAACTGTGTTGGTGGTGAAGTCGCAGTCGTGGTGACCGATGCTGTCGGAAACTGCTGCTGTTTGTTGGTGACGTTTGGAAGCTCTTCCGTGGCTGGCGGCTCGATTGCCAAAACCTCTTCCACGTCCGGTTTCTCTGCTCGCCTCTCAACTTCACCCTCTGAGTCAACCTGCACAACCGACAGCTGCTCTTCTACTGTGGTGGCATTCCCGGTCGGCAGCTCCTCGGAGCTCCAATGACGGCCGATGCGGCGAGCCCGGTCACGCAGCTCTGCCCACGACAGGTTCGAGAGCTTTGAAGAGCTCATCGTCGAACCAGTTGTAGAACTCGTCCCCGGTTGAGAGTTGTGGTGAACTCAATTCTCGAACCGGGCTCTGATACCAGATGTTTCTAACGGGATTCGTATTGGGTGATATTTGGGAATTTAGGGATCGAGAAGATAGAATTAGGGATTTGGAAGTAGAATTTGGGGAAGAACGAGAAAGAATGGCCGGTGGCCGGATTATGGATAGAGGAGAAATTGGGAGGATTTAGGAGAGAATAGGGTTTCGGGATTTTCTTATTATTCTTCTTATTGATACCGAATGAATAAGTAAGGTACGTATTTATAGGGAATTCTAGAAAACCCTAATAATAAACCTAATTCTATTAAATGACTACTAACCTTATTGATAATTACCCTAATAATAATTATATTAATAAATCGAGAAACCCTACCGGAATCGGTTTCTAACAGTATGCAGCTTCAGAGCTCCATGTTGTTGCTGCTTTGGTCGGCGGTGTTGCGTCGCAAGAAGTGATCAAGGTTTTTTCCTCCCCTTCTTTTCCTTTCAACATTTCTAAGTCTGAAAACACCCATCAGTCTCCACCATGATGTCTGTTGGTTTCTGAACTTCACCTGGGTCTTTCTCGAGCTTCTCTGATCTCCTCTCTTCTTTGCCACAACGGCTAATTACAAAGCAGTTCCTTCCCATGTCCGCCACATTCATATTTAACGGCATTGATCACAAATCTCAATTACTGTCCTTGTGAAATAGTCCTTCCTCCAACGTAGCAGGTTGGTAACATCATAACTTCTTTCTTGAATCCTAATTTTGTCAGCTACCTGATAATAATAGTTGTTATATAAGGGTCTCATTCTTCATAATATTATTCTGCAGATCCCAGTCATTGTAGGGTTAGAAACCGATACATCAGCCATGTGAAGCTTGCTGACTCTTGCTATAAAAAAAAAAATCCGGTCAACTGTACGATGCACAAAATCATTAGCTGGAGATGGGTCACTGAAGCTTTCCATTTTGACAAGACTGATGAAAATGTAGCATATAACATGGGTTGTAGCCTGAGAATGTTAGAAGAAGATGGTACGATGAAAGTTGCACTAGAGAATTTGTTTTTCACGTTATATTCTTTCTTTTGTGTAGGCAGTGGTAAAGGTTGGTTCTTGCTGGGATATCCTCGGGTTCTACATCTGGAATTTCACTAGTTAATTGTTATGGCAGTCTGAGTTTTCTCCAGCAGTTCTTTGGTTCAATGGATTAGCTTTAGCAATCGTCTGGACTACGGGGCTAATGGGAATGGAGCTCCAGTCACTATAGGGGAAGGCAATCCAGTCTCGGCTAGCATTGTTGGCTGCAACCAGCATGCATGTTTACAACCTAAAACCGGTTTGCTTCTGCATCATTTTGATACGAAGAATCATTTGGAGTAACGAAAATTTCAAATCCTCCCTTGGCCTTTTGCTAATGATTTTTTTTTTTTTCCTGTACTACTTTTCAATCTTAACCCTAGTCTTTTTTTTTTTTCAGAAATCCAATTTAACTATTCTATATTTTCTTTTTAAATTCAATGCTTTCAAAATTTTATTTAGCAATACTTTTCAATTATTTTAATAATATTTTTATCATTATTTTCAAGCAAAATAGTCAACTACTATTTTGGTGATTAGTTTGGAATACATGTTATATTTCGTCATAATTTGGAGCAAATACAATTAGGAAAGAAATTTAACATAACATTAACTCTTTCAAATAAATAATAGTAGTATATATCGCTAATACCAAAAAAAAAATGGTAAATATTGATTGTAGTGAATTTTGTTTCATGGTTAACTTTATTAGGATAGAAAGCAAGAAAATGAAACATATTACATATAAGAGCAAAATGATAAGATTACACAAATGAATCGTTAAAACATTACTCATCTAACCACTATTTGACAAACAATACATTTGAAAATGTTGACACTATTAAATATTTATATTTAACCAAATGGAGTCAAACTAGCGTACGTCAGACGTATACTATACGTCATGTACTACTAGTGAAATATCTCTATCTAGACCATGAATTAAATCGAGTTTGGGGTATGATACTATACCTTAACCTCTAATAGATAAACCCCAATCACCGATTTTCTAAACCCCAACGCGAAGTTTGATTTAATGAAAAACAAAAATTGATCGTTGAGATCGGCCGGAGCTCATCGAAGTACATCTAACGACTAGATCATCCGACGTATAGTATAGTGTACGTCTGACTTACACAAGTCATTACCTAACCAAATGACTAATTTTGTAAATGTATTATAGCAGCTTTAAGCAAATAAAGTTAAGGAGAAGCCTGACAAAATTTCTTAGTGACATAGTCCTTGCATGAAGAAGAAAGAGAAAACCATCCCGTGTCAATTCATGGCCTTGACCTGTTAACTAAGGGACATATTTCACTATGAAATTGGGTACAAAGCTACACAGCAACAACGTTCACTACGTCGCATTTGCTGATTTGCAATGAGGGAATGGAATGGGAGCAGCGCCTTCGATCGATATCTTAGGCGCCTGGAACTTTCTTGGCAGGATTGTACACACTGAACTCACCAAAGTCCCTTCTGCCACTGGCAAAAACACCTCAAAATCAAACCTTTTTGAGCAAATAAAAAAAAAATGATTCCAGTTGTGAAACTAAGATCAAACATCATGCATAGCTAATAGTCCAGTTGGAAGGCTTAGGCTCTCACGGCAGTGATGGTTTTCAGGTTTGACAACTTAACACAAGTAACATGGCTGTCCTACGTGCATATATTTGCCTAAGCTAAGATACCAAGACACAAAAAGATTCGTTTCCCTATCAAAATTGTCTGTCTCCATGATAACTGTGAGGTGAGCAATTGATGCGGTTGGAGGGAAAGCTAAAGCCAGAATTATGTATAAGTCAGTATATGAAATGAGGAAGCTGCGAAGATGCTGGGCAAAACCAACTTTACATACCTGTGCATCACAGTCCACCCTCCAGGTAAGAACCGAGGGTTCAGTGCTTCCACGAAGACTTGCCTCCATCTCTGGCAAAACTGGCCGATGCCTTCCTCTCCTTCCTCCTTCATTATAAGCTCAACGACTTGTTTCCCATGGGGCCCATGTCCAAGCAGAGATAATTTGGAGTTGTTCTTAGATGAATAAATTGAATCTTCTCCTGCCCCATTTGATGCACTGATGGACTGGATGACGTCAGTATTTTCAATGTCAATATCTCTTCTGTTAGAACCGTCACTTTCGTCAGGGTTCACCTTCTCAGCAACAGTAGCAGCAGAGACCATTCCCATGCTTTCGTCAGCGTCTTTCTCAGCCAGAAAGTCTTGATCCTTTTGTAAGAGAAGTGGTTCCATTTTACAGGCTGAATTATAGTGGTTTACTTGTTCCGCCTGAAGATCCCCAAGAGGAAGTTGTGAAGATGCACCCCTTTTTTTCTGAAACCGTCTTCTCTCATGAGGGCTCATTCCAACCATCAAAGCCTTTTCCAAATCTTCTTGTGACACTTCTCTTCCCCCATAGTATTGCATCACAATCTGCTTATAGCGAAACGGAAAGCAACAAACTTCAGAGTTCCATGAACATACAATAAACAATTGGAGAAAAAAAGACCAAGCCTAAGCACGAGCCACTGATGATAACCTGTTCCAGTTCCCATACTGCAATGACAAGGCGCATCAGATGAAAGAACAATGATTGTCGTCACTCACCTGTCTCAGTTCATCATATCGCTTGGGTGGCATTCCTTTCCCATGACGCAGAAGGGCCATGGCAGCTGTTCGCAGTTGTAAGGGAGACACACCTTCCTCCTCCACATTGCCTATCGATGAAGCTGATTCAGGTATTGCTGTGGAGGCTTCTTTAGAATCCACCACTTTACGAACAAACAGTGGTATGCCATACTCGATAGCGATTTTCCTTTTGTGCTTCTCAGCAGCAGCATGAGCAACTTCGTGACAGTCCACACAAAGTAGGACGATATCATGAGAACGGTGGCTTTTCAAATGCTCAGGGAAGTGTATTCTGTAGCATGAAGGTATTACTCGATACCGTAAGTAGTGACCCCCTTCACCACAGCTGACACAGATATTTCTCTTGCTCTGGATGTAGAAATCATTGTCTTCATCCTCCGGGCGGCCCTTAGGTTCGAAAAGTAGCATTATGGCAGGAGGATCATCATCAACAAGCTTTGCTAAATCTCGGCGGAGATACCTGTTGGAAAACAATACTTGCTTCAGTGTAACCTTTAAAAACTGAGCTTGCAATATTAATAAGATGAGAATCAGACGGATCGCACTGACCATTCGAGCTTTCTCCGGTCACAATAACAAAGCAAACGTCCATCGTCTGCATAAATCCTACAGTTATGATATACTGGAGATTTACAGGAGAACTTCTCAACAAAATGCTGTCGTGCTCGTGAACCCTTCCGTGAAGCCTTTTTTGAACCTCTAATCCCATTTTGTTTCGACACCGTTCGTCTTGTTAATTTGAAGTCACAGTTCACCAGAAGAGCATAATTATAGATAGACAATGGGCAACTCCCGTTTTCACCAAGACATGTTTGGAGAATGATAGAAATTATGTCATCGAGTTTGCTTTCTTTCTCTTGAATTAAGCAAAATAAATCATCCAAATGACTCGTGACAACAGGTGACAGAGGAGGAAGAAAACAATTGGGATTCACAGGATCAGAATCATGATCAACATGAGCAATAAGCTGAGAGAGTTCGGTCAGATTCGTAGGAACATTTTCTGCCAGAGACACAACAGCTTGGTCTGGTAATACATATCTTAAGCTCTCATCATGCACCCGAGCCTGAAAGGAAGTCCATGCAAATTGGTTAGGTTCAAAAGAAATGATGCAGATTGTACCAAGAGGCATTTCATATGAGATGTTCAATACTTGTGTGTCAAGTGACCAAAGCGAGCTAAGCAGCTCATGATTTCGTATCACTTAAAAGTAAATGTGAAATCATATCAGGAAAAAAGCTACTGTAATCACACTATCCACTAATGCACTTGAAACGTTGGCCATAGGCAGTTCAAAGGTGGCAAAGATAAGGTACAAGGCAGCCAACCAATCACTTCTCCAGAGAGCAAACAGCAATTGTTCTCATTTAACAAAGTACCTTCTTTTACCATTTAATCTTTAGCTAGTCGCGAAAAATGTTCTCAAAAGGTAACTGTATGTCACTAATGAATATGAATCATTCAATAGAGCCGACAATTTTAGGCCAGGAAGGATCGATGCAGTGAACAGAACATTGCATTGACATCCCTAGGCCAAGGAATTACTTAGAAGGAAGGACCAGAAGGAACATCAAAGTTGCATCCTTTGCTCCCTGCATGGTTCTGTCACAAGCAAAGCATGGTCAAACTGGAGATGCATACTATACTATGATACCATATGCTAATAACAAAGAAAAATGACAAAAGAAAAAACATTCATGTAGGTGATTTTGCTATACTGGTAGGCTGCTGCATCTCTGATTTCCAAAATTACCAGCATGTTCAGTTCAACAATGAGATGTAGCCATACAGCCAATAAGCTTTATCAGTCCCGATTCTGAATTCCAAAAGCACTATTCGTGTCACAATCAAAACTACTGAAAGTTTAACTAACCATCAGTTCTCTCCAAGTGCACAGACGTCTTACGAGATCCTGAAAAAAAACGTGAGATACTAAATGAAATGATTACCATGAAAGTTACATAAAAGTTGCTTCAATAGGCTATGACAAGGAGGCACACCTGTTTCTCACTTGAAGTTGATGAACCTTCATGAACATCGAAATGACGGGAAAGAATTGATGATGCAGCAGCCTCGCCCGGATAAAGATCAATCTCTTTTGTGTATACTTGCATACATATCATGTTTGAACGACGAGTTGCCTCAACAACATAATGCGGTTTTTCATCTAAAGAAGTTGAGTTATCTGAATAAAACAATGTTTTTAGTGCCATTATTGATGAGTATCATTTAGGCACATTGAGACATCCAGGTTTTCAATAAGGTGAGTTAAAATGCTTGTGATCTGCAACTAGTACTTAACAGAAGAGAGTCTCATATTCCTCAACCCAAAATAAACACTTTACATGAATGCTTTACTACCAGATGCAATTACAATTCTCATACCGCACATCTTGACGACAATGCAATATATAATTGTTTCTTTTTTTTACCCCCTCAGAACCAAGCAGCAAATAACAAAAACCCATATGTTTTTAAAACCATAAGACTTGCAAGACTTACCTATATCATGTTGTCTCAGTTCCTCAATTAAACAACGTGCAATATATAATAGATAGTGTGCATCTGTCTGAGCATATTCTAACATCTCTGCCGATAAGGGACGTTGTCTCCAGTCTTCTCGCTGCAAATCAATATGATAAGTCAGCCAACATGCAGAAATGAAGTGATAAGAGTTCTAACTCAAAATACTCTTGAAAAAAAATCATATATTACTGATGCATGCTTTACCAATAATGCATCCAAAACAAATATGCTTGAAAGTTTCACTAGATATATGGAAAATGAATCATTAAATAACCAGAGTCCCAAACCTGTAGCAATTTGTTTGTGTATACGCCACAATAGGTTTCAAGTAAGTATGCTAGTGATTTTTGTGGTTTTGACAACACCTCACAAGCCTGGAATATCAAAGTAAAAATTGTCACATTATCTGAAGTCTGAAACTTAAATGTGATGTACAATTCCTTTATGACTGGTAAATTCAAGGCCTTTGTGAACCTTACTTTTGCAGTATCAAACAAATTAACAATGTATATGTGGAAGTCTCTTTGTAGCCAGAGCACATCATTGTCTGCTCCATGGAATACCTAGGCAAACCAAATTCCCATTAGTGCACGAAAATTAAAGATGCCCACTCAATTTTTGCTTTCTGCTTCAAATTGATCCTTGTTTCTTATAGCCAAGACTAAATATTGAGCCACCGGCTAACCATGTTATATACCTTGCATATATTTGGATCAGCAAAAACCGGCCTTAGAACTGCCATTGCATCATGTAATGCAATTGTGTCCAATAAATAATCTTCAGTTCGAGTAGATATCTGCCATTGCATACAAAATCTCGAAGGAAAAGAATCAGAAAACTCAAGAATCCATCATCCTTCTAACTCAAAGAACACAATTTTCTAACTCAAAAGTGTTAAACCTGAATCAGAGCAGTGAAGCCAAGAAAAGACCGTAGGCTATGCTGTTCCGTGTCAACGCCGAAAGCTCTCTCGTTGCTCAGCAAATCTGCTAGCTCCTTCAACTGAGATTCAGTCTCAACCCAAACATATGAACTGCTGACTTTGCTATTCCAACCAGTGCTATCCAATTTGAAGTCAACTGGTGGTTTCTCCAACAAAGCCTTAATCTCTTGTTCATAAGGATGCAAATTGGAACCATTCTCTTCTGCAACATTACAGAATAGCAACAACAACAACAACAACAAAAAACAAAGTGTCAGAATTTGAATGTTATCGGAAGTATGCAATCAATCAGGCAGAGAAATACACAGCTCAGGTATCAGGTCTGTTAAAGTAACAGTGAACTGAAATTTCGAGTTCACCATTATCAATATTCTCAGCGAACAAGCAGAGATAAAAGGGTAGACCAATGGTCTCAATGACTCAACTCACCGTTGCTCGACGCACTACTGCGCTTCAAGTGCTTGAAGTGAGAGAACGAATTGTCAGCCAACACTCTCCTGAAAGAGAACTGAGGCTTTCCTTCAGCGTGCAAGTAGCACGAACTTCTAGCCTTCCGCCGCCTCCGGTAATGCGCCGCCGTGAAGGCTATCGTAACTGCCGCCGCTGCGAGAGAAATTAACGTCACTGCGATTTTAAGCTTGGTCTTCTTATCCTCCATTTTCAATCCCTCCCCGATTGCCGTTAACTTTCCTTTGCCGATGTTTCTTCTTCTTTCCTTCCGTTTCTGTGCTTACTTTTAGTTTCCGTTGCGAAAACCAGAGGGATATGAGGCGGTGGAGGAAGGAAAGAAGAGCGGCGGCGAGCGGCATCGCTCCTAGTTTATAAAAAGGAAAATTACTAAAAGGGGCCCGGCCTGCACAGAGAAGAAAAAACGTTTTTACTTTTTATACTTTAGGAAAAAACAATTTTATAAGGCTGACAGCAACCCAAATGAACTACTTCCTTTGGGCTTTTCATTCAAGAACTTGAAAATACAAATTGCTAACGTTTAACAATGGGGCCAGCCCAAGCCCATACTCATAACCGCTATGTTTCCCTTTTTTTTCAAAAAGTCGGTTATTTCCCTCCCTCTCCTTCCCTCACTTCCTTTTCCGCTTCCATTTCTCCTCCCCTCCGCAGAAGTTTTGCCACCAGAGAACACAAAAATGGAACCCATCACTTCACTAATTGAAGAAGACGAAGATGACGAATCTGAAATGGAAGCCATCGCACTCTCCACCCCGCCAATGATCCTCGAACTTCCCGATTCCAGTACCCAAAAACAACAACATAGTAGGAACAACTCATTATCAACGAAATCTCAATCCTTGACCGAATTCGTCGCGTCAATCAAACTCAAATCTCGAGCCGTCACACGGGCCTTGGAGAAGAAATTGCTGAGACGATGCGACTGTACAGGCGAAGGCCGATCATCCCGCGGAAGCGGCGCAAGGATTTACCAAGTTTGGCCTGGAAACAACGTCGGGACTTCGTAATCACATTTTGATTTCCTTTTTGACTGTTGCCAAAAAAACAGAGGAGATGGAACTGGTTAATCCGAATTTTTTGTTAGTTGGTTCATTATTGTAGGTGTTTTTCTTTCACGGAAAGCTCATCTTTGGTCCAGATCCAAAAGGGTTGCTTTTGACGACGTTTTCAATCGCAATCTCGAGTTGGGTTTCCGCCATTTATAACATTGATGATGATTCCTTGCCCCATTCCCTTGTCACAAGACTCTTCTCCCTCCTTCTAGCACTAATTGTATGTTACATTTTCCCTCAAAAGTTGTTAGGGACTGACCAGTTCTTTTTTTTTTTTTTTTTCCCCACACAAATTTTACCGATTCTTCCGCTCCCACATATACAGGTTCTTGTGAACTTGTTTCTAGCCAGTGCATTCGATCCTGGAATCATCCCTAGAAGCAACCAACCTCCCCTGCCTTTCAACGAAACCGATTCGAGCAACATCACCAGAACTAGTACAGAAAACAGAGTAGTGACTGTCAACGGGGGTGGAATTGAAGCTAAACTACTGCCGAATCTGCAAGATTTACAGGCCTCCAAGGAGCTGCCACTGCGACATCTGCGGCAATTGCGTTGAGAAATTCGACCACCATTGCCTCTGGATCGGTCAATGTGTTGCATTGGTAAAGAAGTTCTCTTTACTTTAGTCTTTCTCGTTGGCCGATCGATTACAAAATCTCATGTGCTGATTTTGGCTCGATTGTTTTCCGCAGAGGAATTATAGACGTTTCTTAGCGTTTATCTTCTCTGCATTGGTTTTCTTCTTCTACGTATTTGCAATCTCCTGCTGGAGAATCCATGGAAGGATGGTGGCGCGGCAGTCTGGTTTCATGGGGATGGTGAAGGACTGCCCTGAGACGTTGGCGCTCTTGGCTTTCAGTTTTGCTGCAATTTGGTTCTTGGGCAGCCTGGCTGGGTTTCATTTATACTTGATTGCAGTGAATCAGGTAGATGATAATTTGATATAACAGAGAACAATATGTTACTTATCAGTGCTTTCACTAGGTTTGTTTAGATGGATCCATGGAGTTATCTTCAGGAAGTTCTTATTCTTGGCGATTTTCTGTTCTATTGCAGACGGCTTATGAGAATTTCCGCCAGAGCTACAACAGTTCTATGAATCCCTACGATAGAGGGATTCTTAGTAATGTGAAGGAGGCTTTGTTTGCGCCTGTCTCTCCTTCTGCTGTCGACTTCCATGCTCAAGTATCTCAAGAATCAGTTTAAATACTGATTAAAAAAAACCATGGTCAATGAGGCCTTGTATATAATCTGGTGTTTCTATAATATGTGAATTATCTTGAACATGAGGTTAACACAAAGTTATTTGTTTTGGGAAAGTGGTTGGAACAAGAAAATCCTAGTGGATGCTCTTGTCTTTAGCATCATTTAATTTGTAATATGTGTTGACATAAAATTTGGTATTCAGCCAAATGTTTGATAAGATAATTATTATTATAAAAATGACAACGAATCATCTATGTATTTCGAAACACACCAAAAATCATGTATGATAGAGACAAAAAGATATACAAGGATGGTAATTATAATTATAATTGTAGCATGATTGAACTTTTAGTTATCTCCCAGTTATCCATGCATGCTCTAACCAATGTAGCGGAAAAAAGTAGCCCCTTAATGGTAATAACTAATAAGGCTTCGAGCAAGCAAACGCGACCACAACCATTTTTATTGTGTAAACGATTTGCTCATTATTTTTACTCTCGTCTTTTTTGTATCCCTTTCTTAACCTCGTCCTCCTCTGAATAAATGAAAAAATCTTAATACACCGTGAATGTTTATTCCAATATTGAAACCTAGGAGAGGAAATCTGATAAGTAACATGGAGACATAATAATGAGGCATAAGTGCCCCCATCCACTAGACCATGCTGATTGAAGGCCACAAGTTTGGGGAACCCCACTAATTGCCATTAGGCAGGGGAAAGGGGGAACATGGGAGAAAGGGAATCGTTTCAAGTGTAAAAAAAACTCCAACCCATTTTTAAAGGGTGAATTGCAAACTTGGTCACCCATATTACTCATTTATAACACTTTAGCCACCCGAATAAAAAATCATTTAACTTAGCCACTGATATTACACGTTTATGTCATATTTAGTCACTCGCCGTCAAGTTCCGTTAAATCTGTCCTACGTGGCAGTCAACTCCAATGTTTAACCGTTAAAAAACTTATGTGTCAATTAAAAATAATAAAAACAATACTTTTTTATTTCCACATCATACTAAATTAAAAATATTTTCTTCATTAAAAAACTAATTAATATAAATATTACTAAAACCAGCCCACCGGCTCGCCCTCACCTCTTCGTCGTTGCACATCGTCGCCATCCCCCTCTCCGCTGTTGCACTTCGTCGCCCTCCCCTCATGCTGCCTCCATGCCACCTCAACCCACGAGCCCAAGCATCCCGCTCAAAACCCACCAATCCTCTTTCTATTGCAAAATCTCCAACACCGCTGCTCCAAGCATCCTGCCACAAAGCCACAATCCTCCCAATCGTCCCGCCGAATTAAACCCAACGACAACAAACAGAAGGTGCAATCGATGGGGTCCCTCCAATTCACAGTTGCATTGATGAGGAGGAGCTTTCTCTGGCTCCACAAAGAGCAGTTGTGGCTGAGCGAGGAGCAGCAGTGGATCCGGGAAGAGCATAGGTGGCTGCGCGAGTGGGGGTCCCTGTTGAGCGAAATTCAGCCGCCGAAGCTCCAAATCCAGGTCTTACAAAAGAGGATTTCGGTTGGCGGGGTCGATGTGGTGCCAGCGAATGTCGATACGCTCACTCCTTTTCTTAATCGAATCGCGAAAAACTCTCAGATCTAGAAACTAACTGTTGTGTTTTGGTGATTTTTTTAGTTCTTCGGGTCCTGGAACTTGTCAGGAACGCTGCGGGAGACAATAAGGCAACAAAGAGTGGCAGAGGAAGGGTCGGTGGAGACAGAGATGGGGGAATTGGCGAAGGAGGTTTCAGATGGAATCAAACATGACGACGAAGTAGTTTCAGTTTGCGGTGGCGGTGGCCGATGGGCGGAGGAAGGGTCGATGGAGACGGAGATGGGGGAATTGGCGAAGGAGGTTTCAGATGGAATCAATTGTGGTGCGAAGGAGTTTTGGGTTGCAGTGGCGATGGGCGGAGGAAGGTTTGATGTGGTGATGGGCGAAATGAAGGTTTCGGATGGATCAATCGTGGCGGAGGAATCGACGAACTGGGGAGCGAGATGCAGGTGAGGAATTGTTAAATTTTTATCATAAATAATATTTTGTAATTGAAAATTATGAGCTGTAAAAGAAAAAAATTAAAAATTTATCAATTAATTATTTTTAATGGCCACGTCCGCATTTTAACGGTCAAAACTATTTGTTGACTGCCACGTAGGACAGACTTAATGGAACTAGACGGCGAGTGACCAAATATGACATAAACGTGTAATATCAGTGGCTAAGTTGAATGGTTTTTAATTCGAGTGACTAAAGTGTTATAAATGAGTAATATGAGTGATCAAATTTGCAATTCACCCCATTTTTTTTTTTTTTGGTAGAAATTCACCCCATTTTTAAAACAAAAGTTGGATCACTAAAAAGCTCCAACACCACCATTTATTTACTCTCCTTTTTCACATGTGGTTTGGCCTCTCAGCCTTTTGCTTTGGTGTCACAGTCGTGTTTGCATCTGCATTGTCCCAATTAGTAGCAGTAGGGCTAGGAGGAGATGGTGGCAGAAAACCCACATGGGGAGAGAGGATTATGGGCCATGGAAATAGAGCGGAGCGCAGATGGGCCATCAATGTGTGCATTTATGAAGGCCCAGTGAGGGATGGAGATGGTCCATAATTAGATGAACCTAGACAATTTTAAGTTTGTGTATGGCTTCTGATGAATTGTTATTATGGGAAGTAGGGATTGTCGGATTGATAAGCAAAAAGCAGGACATGGAGGCCATGACTTGAAGCTTTCACTCATATTTATTCATGTCAAGTAAGAAGGACAATGGATTAGTTCTTTCCAATACTAGAAATTAACTAGAGGTTCAAAATGCTTGAGCAGTTGCAAATTAGTAAAGTGATAATCCAACCTCCCCGAGAAGTTCAACCTGATTTAGTTAGACTCATCAAATCAAGAATATTCACAGAACGAAAAAGACGAAGAAAGGAGAATTTCGTGGTATTCTCAACGGTTCATCGTTTGAGACTAATCCACGACACAAAGACGATAGTTCTTTCTCATTAGCTCAAGTGGCAGCTACAGATTGGTGGCGTTCGGGTCAGACAGGCATGTGATGTTGGCGTTCGGGTTGCAACATCAAGGGATATTGCTTGGCCCACGAGATAGTCGAAGGTGACTCCGAAGTGGTCGTCAACCAAGTCCGTCAAGGCGTCTTAGAAGACTCGATTGGTGGTCCGGTGTTACGTGAGTGTCTTCAGATCCTTAGCTCTTTGTTTGTTTGTATAGAGTTTAGGGCGGTACCTAGATCCGCCATCAGTGCTGCCCATAGAGTGGCGCGTAAAGCACTGCTTTTGTCTCGTGTAGAGCTAGAATCTTTTGTTTTTTCGGGGTGGCTTCTTTAGAGTCTTTTAGGGGTCCTGGGTAGAATTGTAAGCTTAACTTTTATTTTCCATTGATATCACTCAGAAATAAAATAAAAAAAAAGTGGCAGCTACAGATTACAAGAAACCCTATTTCCTATACGGTATGGACGACACATGTTGTGTAGACCTCTAACCATACGTTACTATCATACAATTTAGGCGTAAGGAGATTCTGTGACAACTCAACAAAAAGTGCTTCAAAATTATACCAGATTGATTATGAGTACGGTTGATTTGGAGACACTATCTTTATAGCTCTCTAATGGCCTTCTTTTGCGGAAGGAGACACAATCTCACTTTTAAAACGTACGTTCAAAGGTGCAAATTGAATAATTAGAGACTAAAAAGGGAGTAAATCTCCCCCAGTTAGCCTATCTATCATGCTTTCATCATTGCGAACAAAACCTCAATTTTGATAAAGCATCAAACCTAAGACCCAAAAAAGACGCCATTGTCATATGAAGCAAGTAATAATAACATAACCTATATATAAATGGTATGGGGGATCCCCAAAAAGAAGTTGCGCAAGTTGCCCCATATTCTTGGCATCTCGTTTATCTTTTCAACAAGCTAGAATCTTGCCCTCACTTGCGGGCTAGATCTCCATCTTTCAGTGCATTTTACCCCCCTTTACTTCTCGTAGAAGACACAATCTCTTTCTTCTATTCCCTATTGAGCCATGCAATTCATTGCTTCTGCATATCTCTATCTCTCCACTTCTTCCATTTTTCACCACTTCATCGAGAGAGAAAAAAAAACAAGAATGAATAAAGGCAAAATGAAAACCTAGAGGATTAGTATACGATTTAGTCACAATGACATCGTGATTGTCGTAAGAATTTACAACAAGTCTTTTTATTGGATCAAACATATTTTCGAGATAGTATTATTATTTTATATGAGATATTTTTCAACAGAATTTTTAAAACTGCGGTATGATACTATATATCTTTTCTTGATAATTTTGTTTCGTTCAAATATTGATAACTCGAATCTCTTTATTATATTAGTCTTGACAAGTGATGCGAGAGTTAAATTCAATCACAATGTATATGTGCAAACTTTTAGGTCCAACTAGCTAGTAATCAAGGCTTACAATAGTGTCGTCCAACGACTTGAATTCGAGTATAGTCAATTTTGTATGCATTCTAAGTAATTTGTTAACAAAAGAGGAGACAAAAAGATCAAAATGATGTATGTGGCGAAAGAGGCGCGGCACCAAACTAGGAAGCAGCTAGGCTGGCAAAGCAAAGCAAAGCAGATGGGTGGTTCCGTCCGTCGGTCCTCGTGCTGTTGCAGCTTTGTTTGTGAGAGAGTGCGGTGTTGCTTAAGCTAAGCCATGGCCAAACGCCCTCATGTATTTTTCAACATCTGATACGAGAGAGAGATTGATGGATGTGCTGTAAAGTGACAAGCTTGAGGCTTGGTGAAGCCTTCTTTCTCACTCTCTTTTGTAATAAGCAAGTCACCTAACATAACCATACACTAGTATTTCCCAACAAATTCCCAAACTTCTCTCAACTCCCTCTCTCTCTATCTAGCTATCTATTTGGTACATTGCAATAACTTGGTGCATCTCAGAATCTAAGTTTTGAAGAAAAAATGGTGTTCTATTCTAAACCCGTTTCCCACTCACACACCGAACATATGGTATGTTGGTTGGAGAGCATAAGGTAAAATGGGGATTATGTATTTCTACTTTATATTTACACTCTGCAAATCAGGTGGAAAATATGAAGGGGTGCACGAAAATTATAAAAATGGATGCGAATAGAGGTGTAATTTATCGTTTGAAAGAAAAATGAAGAAGGTGTAAGGTGGAGTGT